ATAAAGATATATCTGGACATGTTGATATTTGTTTTACATGAAGAGGAGAGATACGTTTACCTATCATTGATAAGATGATTTGTTGTATATGAATGCACCTGCCTATTGCCTGAACAAGTTAGATGCTCCCTATCACAGTGCACTGAGATTGGTCACTAATTGTAAAGCACTTACACATCACTGTACCCTGTATGCCAAGGCAGGTTTGCCATCACTTACTGTACGGAGGCTCAGTCATTGGTACATGTTTATTTATAAAGCCATGTTGGGTAAACTCCCGTATTACATCTGTTCACTGATAACACAGAGAGTTGCAAGCAGCTATTGTCTGAGATCGCATGATGTAGTATTGTTAGATGTGCCAAGAGCAAGGACTGTCTTAGCTAAGACAGCTTTTATGTGCGCAGCTCCACTTGCTTGGAACAGTCTACAGCTAAAATTGAAACTGAGCAATTTTATTCCTCTGAATGTTTTTAAAGCAAGTCTAAGTGAAATGCTCTTTGAAACTATGGGTATTTGTAAATGTTGATAAGTATGTAAATGTAGCTTGTAAATATGTTGTATGATATCTTCTATTGTTTTATGTTGTTTCATGTGGAGCCTAATTGCTGCAGGTCTCCCTTGAAAAAGAGATCTATGATCTCAATGGACAATCTGGATAAATAAAGGTTTGAAATGAAATTTAGATACCATTAATATGCAGAAGCCACATTAGATTTTCTGCATTTCAGGCTATACTTGGATTTGTTTTGGTTTTAATTACATTATAACAAATAATTACCACACAGTAATGGCGAAACACAAAACCTGGGTTCCCTGAATGTCTAAGGTCTTGGGTGGTTGGTTTATCAGCCATGCTTGCTAAGAGTTGTAGGCATCAGATTGAATGTCAGTGAAGAAAGGCCCAAAGGAAGTTGTTGTAGCAGGTCCTCCCCGTGGTGTTGGCATCAAAATATGAGCTGAGGTGGAAGAACTCCTCCTCTGAAAGTCTGACGCTGAAATGGCGCAGCACCTGCAGGGCAACATCAGCAAACGTAATTACGTGCGAACATTTGTACATCTCCTTATGTTTTATCAGTTTGGGATATGTCATCCCTAATAAGGTTGCTAATTGTTTCTATTGATTAGCTCAGGAACCGTTGTCGTCGGTAAATGGCACAGCAGGTAAATGGCAGGGACAATAAAACGGGAGTGTCAGCTGCTGTTCTCCTGGGCCAAAATGCCAGCATGGTCTTGTTTCAACCTTCAGCGTAATTGAACAATTAAAATTACTGATTGGCTGTCAAGTGAACAGGTGTGTTCACCTGACAGCGTGTGTGTGTGTGTGTGTATGTGGCGGTGGCGGTGTTTGCAAGCCTGTAAGCTTGAGCTTCATGGATTTCAAGTCACTCTCCATCAGTCTGCTTTGGACATTTTGATAGAAGTGGAGCTCAAACGATTGCATCAATAATTCATAAGGAACCTGAAGTGTTTGATATTGCTCGGATGCAGCAGTGCAGGTGGAGTTCTTCAGGGTGGAGCGCTGCCGCTGATCTCACCTTCCTGAAGTCCTGCACGGAGACCCTTCCTGTTCGGGGGCGGTCACATGTCAGGAAGCAGCGTCAGATGGAGGTCCAGGAGGAATGGACCACATTGTGGATCCTCAGCATGACCTCCACACAGTCTCTGCTCAGCACACCTTCACTCTTCTGGACCGAACCATCCAGAATCCAATCAGACCAAAGAGTAAAAGACCCAAACAGGAAGACATGAACAATAAGAAAGAAAACAACAAATATAGGTGAGAGCGCCCACATTCATCGGTTAAAATCACAAGCTGAGAACAAAGTGTTTTTCGTCCTGTGATCAGATAAAAATGTTTTGTCTGTAAACTCGTGTTCAGACACATTATCGAATCAGATAAAATCACAGGAGGTCTCTGCAGTTTCCCGCAGATGGTGGGAGACAATGCAGGTCTTGTGTGATTTGCGAAGTTGGTTTGGAAGGTTGCAGCTTTTGGGTTGCCAGATTAGGCCCTCACCCACACGCTCCACTGAAGCTTGGGGCTCGGCTTAGTCGCTCAGCGGGAGTTCTTTTTAGAACGTGCCCACCCGTGTGTCATTGTTCAAAGCTTCATATACACCTCCCCGCGCCAAAAAAAGCTCCAAAACTCACCAAACTCGCCCAATTTGCTTGTCATATGAGGCGATAGTCGAGAGCCTGAGGGTGGGAGGTCCCCGCTGAGTTTACACAATCTGGCAACCCGGCGTTGCTCATCACCCCCCCTCGCTTTACGGAGCCACCCCAGCACCCCTTTACTGTAACCCACTTTTCAGGCAGTAAAACTACAATATATTAGACGTAAAACGGAGGAAAGGAGAGGGACTGTGGAGTTAATTTGAAAAGTGCTAATGTGCTGCTCAGCATGGGTATGTGTGGCTGAGAGTACATTCTCTGTGTCCCAATTTCACATTCACTCCAGCAGTGATGATTGGAAAGATGGGTTAGATGAGGGAAAAGTTTAATTTTAAATGTTAACATGCCTACCGAAGTACTACAACATTTTAGTTTGGCATCTTTGGCAGAATCTTAAGCCTTTAATTTATATTTTTCTATGTCCTGAACAAATACTGGTTTCACCTTATTATCGACGTGACAACTTCATTCTCAATACTTTGAAAATCTTGTCGACATTGTGACTTTAGCTTCTATAAAAACTAGCATAAAATAAAATGAATGTCCCTTCTCTAAATTGTTTCTTCATGCCTCGTCTCAATACCGTTCTGTAGCAGTTATCATTATTAGCCATGTACTACACATTAAGTCGGCTCTTATAAATGGCAATTGTCTATTGATTAAGGGTTACCAAAAAGCAATTCTAAATCTTAAAAAATGATGCACTTGTTTAGTCATTTGGATCCAGATTTCGTAACACTTTCTCTCAAAATCAGAGGTACGATGGGACAGAGGACAGATTTACAAACCGGTATTTAAAAGAATAAAAACAACAGACTTGGATGTATTTGTGGCACAGTTACTGATTATTTCATGCAGATATTATATTTAAGGATAAGATTTTTTTTTTTTTACCAGTGTAATTGAAAGAGGCAATCTCCGTCGCTCATATGCAGTCTTTGCCTCTGCTGGTTGCAGATTCAGGAGGAAGTGACGTAGGAAGTTGTGATAGGAAACACAGCCATTGTTGATGATGTCAAACTTCACAGTCAGGTGCTCAAGCTGCTCCTGTGTCATATTAATGCCCAGAGAGTGGAGGATCTCTGCAACAGAGTATTCATTAGCATAGAGCCGGTAGAAGGAATATATATATACAGTATATGATTGTGGTTGGCTGCTCACTGAGAAAGGAGGTAGTGCTGATGTGTCCTTCTCGCTGAGGATCTTCCATGGCACAGTTCCTCTGGATCTCCTTCCAGCAGCGCTGCACCCCCCCTCGCAGCCCCCTCCCCCTGCTGCCCGGCGGGCTCCCTGTTCCCGGCCTCCCCACCGAGGAGGGACGCCTGGAGGAGCACACAGGGGCGGTCTAGAGAGGAGTGAGGGTAGGTTAGGAGAAGGACAGCACAACTACATAAAATAAAAAAATTACAGTTTTTCTTAAGTAGTTTGCGGCATAGCTTGTCAACAGAGGATGATACAATGAATTCATTCATTTATTAGTCGGATGTAGTTTCCCTTAACACTGTCATCATTTGAAAACAAGGCTAAATAAGTCCTTTCACTTCTGTAGTTACGCCAAATTAAATAACATGCTTGACATAGGATTATTTTTAGATTTACCTGCAAAGATAAAAACTATGGTTTGAAATCAAGACAGTAGGGGCATGCTGTACTGTACCTTGATCAACCAAGACATTCTAAAGTATATATAAAAGTAAAAAATCTTCTCTTGGGAACACATTCGTATTTATATCTATTATCCGCATAAGTGGGCACTACCTCTATCATTCAGTTTTACTCATTTTCCAAAACTGCATTTATGCTCTGTGTGCTTTTTTTAAAGCTTTTTATAGCAAGAGTGATTGTGATTAATTGTCTGAGGGTTTGTAAGTGCGGAGGCAGGCACTTGGCTGGGAAATACGTAAAACTGAGTGAGAGAGGGTATTGTTGTGCAATCTTTTGGATGTAAGCTAACTTATGTATATGTCTAAAGCAGAGAACGGTTTGGTTTTACTCAAGTTCAATCATATATAATGTCTGTAAATATTTTTTTCTGGCGTTTTATAATCTAACCTATTTCCTTGTCTAAATAATCTACTACCACGAGTCTTTACTTTCTTGTCCTAACAAACCTAACTTGACTGGCTTTGAAGAGAAGCTGGTTCC